CTTCTTCTTCTTCTTCTTCTTCTTCTTCTTCTTCTTCTTCTTCTTCTTCTTCTTCTAGTAGCTGGAAAAAGCAGGGGTCTGAATTCCTAAAAGAAAAAAGAAAAAAAAAAACTTCTTATACATTGTTTTTTTAAAATAATACAAATGAAAATGACTAAAGAAATTCAGAAATAAGAGCAAAATTTCTTCTCAGATAGATAAATAGATAGAAGTAGTTGATGTAGATGTAGATGTAGATGTAAAGAATGGCCCTGCATGGTTGAAGTCACTCCTGAATCTCCTTTCCTTTGTTTTGTCACTGTAATTCGTATATATACCTAGGTACCAGAAATAAATTCTTTAGAGTATTGCTATCTGAATTAATAATTCACTCTACATGGAGTTACATGCAAGTTTATCAGCTGCTTTGTGTTTACCTTGTTGTTATGCATCTAGCCAGCCATACTAACCATTTCCAAGAGTATCTTCCCCCTTAACACCAATTTGAAACTAGAACAGGATTTACTTCAGTGGTTTCAATTTGCCTCTTAAAGGAGGTCAGGCCATTATTATCTTATTCTTCTTTCAATGTATTATTTCATTTGCTGGATGAAGGCTCTTTGTTTTTATTAAAGTTTTTAGATGTTACTCAAATGAAGTGCTTAATTGTTTGTTTTAAAATTGACGTTTTATGTTTACTTGTTATCCACCTTAGAAAGGTGTTTATCAATAAAAAGGCAGGGATGCATACAAAGGAGATTGAGAACCAAATGCTTTCTGAGTGCAAGGAATTCAGATTGAGATGCAAACTCCCTCTACTAACATGTTAGATGTATAATTTTATTAAGTTTCACCCAGTGCAGAATGTTTGGGAGAATATTCAATAAAATAGAACTAAGGGGGAGGGAAAGAGTGTGGGGGGAAATGAAAAAAAAATGTATTGTGACATTGTAACACAAACCACGTGTTTTATGTCTTTCCATCCAACATCAGACCACAATTACAAAAAAACAGATTTTGCACGATGCTATCATGGTACACATTCATCCTTTCCATTTCATTGCAGTGTGTTCCAAGCACTGAGACTCACTGAGGAGAATCTCCCATCCACTTCTCCCCATAGTCTTAATTGCATAAATAAATAAATAAATAAATAAACCACTGTGGAAGAAGGTAGAGAATTTAATCTCGTTCAAATGTTTTTGTGCTTGTTCTGTTTTAGCTGCCAAACCTTGGGTTAATGGATGTGAAATCAGGTGGATGAATGCAGAAAAAGACAAATATTTGAAGCAGCACCAGCACTCAGAATATTTAAAAGCATAGTTCAAACAAGGACATTGTCAGGCCTAGCCTAAGGAACTCCAAGAGACCATGCAAATCCAGTCCAGCTATGTTTATTAGCTACAACCTCTAGCA